AAAATCCTATTTCAAGACTACTGCATATTATCTCCATCAAAGGCAGTTCAAAACAATCACACTAAGTATAAAAGAAAAAAACAAAAAAAAAAAAATTGTAGTGGTACGTATATCTTCACTGGCCAATGAAATATGTTTATTCCAAACTGTTGTTGCAAAGTGGTGTTTTTTTTTTTTCTTTGAATTCGTTTATTTTCGTAAATACCTAGCTTTGAAGGGATTTAATACTACTGCTATCTATCTTAACTAGAAAAAAAAAAAAAAAAAAACCAATCCATTTTTAAACTACCTCTAAGCATACCATTCATATAGTTAAATATTTGAATCTGACACGTCTTATTATTATTATTATTTTTTTTTTTTTTTTTTTTGGAAAATGCATTAATCACTGTGTAATTTATAAACCATAATGACCTTATTGCTTATATACTAGCTTTGAAATAGAAATGCTTCGGTTCAATTGATGCTGCTGTTTATATCTTATTCCTATTTCCACACTCCTTTATTACCCCCTAAACTGATTATAATAAAGTCCCCATAATCGTTTATATGCTTTTGAAACAAAAAAAATAATATTATATATCTTCTTATTAGATATGTAGTAATTTCTATTTTCAAAATGTATTTTTGTTTTAATTCATTGTAAACCAGATCTCAAGAAATATCTAAATATCGTTACATCTTTTTGTTGTTGTTGTTGTTGTTGTTGTTGTTGTTGTTGTTGTTGTGACCGTGAGATTTTGCCATCTACTACCATCTATCACTCTTACCCCTATCGATATCCCTAAAATAAATTTGACATTTTAGCTTATCCCTTTTTGTTTTAATTGCATTAAATAAATTGAGCCAACTCTTCAACTCAACTAATTAATCATACCAATTACAATATATATATATATATCATACATGACTATTTACTTATTGCACCAATTTTGCATCTTGATTTGAATTCAAAAAAAAAAATAAATAAATAAATAATAGCCTCATCGGATGTCAATCTTTCTTAGCAATCAAATACTTGAACCCACGCTTTTTTTCTCCCTTTTAAGCTTTACTCATGCCTTGTTTTCTATCACCTTCATAAAAGCCTGGACATTAAACAAATACTTGCAGTATTTTAGCTCGATTTTATCATGGTCTTTTCAACAATCCTTACTTAACATAATAACCCATTTTCAAATTTTTTTTTTTTTTTTTTTTTTGATTCCTTTGTATACAAAGTGATAATTTGGCATATGTTACAAATCAGAATCAGAATCAGAATCAGAATCAGAATCAGAATCAGAATCAGCATCAGCAACCTGCAACTTTGTTTGGAACTTGGAAGCATTCATTAACATGATATACGAAATTCGTGGTAATTACTAATTACTAATTACTCAAAGCCAAACTAACTAACAAATTAAATAAGATACATTCCAGACATACTTTTCCATAATGTTATTTTTATAAATTCAAAAAAAAAGGCTCTATTGGTAAACATAGTAATTAATATCAAACAATTTTTTACCAAATCGTGTTGTCATTATTATTTTCTTGTTCATTGACAACATCTAGCTATTTGTTGTTTTCGTTGCCTCTTGTTTTTTTTTTTTTTTACTAAACAATAATGATTTTTTGTTGGAATTTTATCTTTAAAATTGATTAATTCTACGTTTCATAAAGCATAAATAACTTGAATTGTATTTTTTTTTTTTAATTTTAAAGACTTTTTTTTTAAATACCTGATGACAGATTATTATTATGCTGAAGCTGATTTTCTTTTAAAATAATCCAACTTTGAACTTAACCAGTGTCATACTCCAAATTACTATTTATAAATAAATACTTTTTTTGAACAAAAAGTAAATGGTACCCAAGTCATTTTTTTTTCTTGTTTGTCAGAACTAATAGAATCATTAAAAAAAAACTTTGATATAAACATTAATTAAAATATCCGGAACATTCTTTCAAGATTACTTACTTTTTTTTTTTTTTCTCTCAGAAAACATAAAACTACCGGTACAATCAACCTTAACTTTTTCCAACCACAATTAGTGGTACCGAAAAACAACAATTTGAAGTTTTTTAAAGTTAATCTGGGTTTGTGGTATCCATGAAAATTGTCACGAGTAATTAACAATACTGATTAAAGATAGTTTTTTTTTAAAAAAAAAACAAAAAAAAAACTTAATGAGAAATAAAATAGAATCTACTACTAAAATAGATGTTCTTAATAACTATTTAAACTCTTTTTTTTTCTTTTGGATAGTTTTACTTATTATAATCAATCATTCATTTGAATAACTAGCTTATGAGCAATTCATTACATTATTATTACTAAGCTTGTATATAATTTTGATATCCATATCTCATACCACGCTACCAAATAAAAAAAATTTTTTTAAACTGTTCATCACATCTATACCATACAATTTTTTTTTTTTTTTTCGGAACCATATTAATTTTAAAATAAACCTTTATCATTCTATAATTGTGCATAGTAGAATGTTGACTTATCATAAATGGTATTCTTTATTGACTATTTTTTTTTACTAATGTTCAAACATACCCTGGTCTTTGGCTTCATGACATGGGTTTACCATTTTGGAAATCCTAGCTACAAGTCCTTGAATTTTAAGACTTTTATAAATAAAAAAAAATTATTATAAAACATATCATGATGTTGGCTACTATTGGTATTACTTTTCATATTGATCTGGTGATGATAATTTTTTTTTTTTTGTTTCTTATGAGAATTATTTTTAAATACAACTTTTTAGAATCTAATTAACCAAGTTAATACCTATTTTAATAATATCAATAGATATTTTCCCCGTTTAAAGATTCTTATGTTAATTTTGGTCGTTGACTGCTTAAAATCAGATACAAAAACGTTTTAGAGTTTAATTTAAGTAAACAAACAAGTCAATATATCCATTTCCTAGATACCAATTGTTCCTTTGACTTTAAAAATATCCAAATTTAATTTAATTTAATTCAATTCAAATATATCTGTTTTTTTTTTTTTTGTGGTTGATTAATAGGACTGGTGTGACTGGTATAATATATGACTTCTTAGGTGTATAGACACCTAGATCCTAGGATACTTGGATACTTGGATGTCTGACTATTAGTATATTGGTATATTGGTATATTGGTATATTGGTATATTTACCAACTGATATCTTGATTCATATACACAGAAACCACTTTAATACCAAAAAGCCTCTAGTTATAATCATCTAATTGACAATATTACCCTAATTTTTTTTTCCTGATTATAAGAGAATCACTTTAAATTATGTTAATAGCTCAAATCAATATACAATGAAAAAGGTCTTCTATTTATCTTATCATAAGTATCTTGTATTTTTGGATATCCTTGAGATAATAATAATAATATTATTAAAAAAACATATTACTGAACATTTCGGATATTCTTTTTTGGTATACTTAATCAATGGATATGTGAAAAATTGACAAAGTGAGAAATTATGTGAATGGTAAAAAAACAAAAAAAATTATGGATATTTCTTGAAAAAGCTTTTAACATCTATAAAGAAATAAATAATAAACAAAAAGCAACCTAGTTGGAATTTTATATTTTGAGTTGTAAAAAACTGAACCTTGTCTTAAGAAGAGAAAAAAAAATACCAGTCTATAGTTTTGTGTTCAGATTACACAGCATACACATATTTTTAAATAGTTTGATAGTAATATTAGTACAACGAAACTTTTTTTTTATACTTATCCAGAACACAAGTTTACCTACCTGAACCAGACTAAACCTAGTCATGTTTATTTATTTTTTTTTTCCAAACTTCATATGTATATTTTTGTACTTTAGCAAGCAATGTAATATCAAGCACAATGGGAAACAGATGAAAGGGGGTGTAGAAGGTAAAGTTTATGAAACCTGACGTGGCAAATCTAAAACTTTGAGTAGTATTTCAAGAAAAAAGTTATTGACAAATGGATAAGCTATTTTCTAATTAGAAAGTGAAAAATGGAAAATAGAAAAAAAAAAAAAAAAAAAAAAAATAGCTAGGGGAAGTGATAACAGTAGAAAATAGAGATAAAGTTTATGATGGTATAAGGCGTATCCATAGCACTACGCAATAAGAGCTAGACAGTAAAGAAATTGAAGAATAATTTGATAGGAAGATGTGATGAATGTGAGAGTGGTAGTATATCGATATTGGTTTCCAAATTTCTTGTCAATTTTGAAGGACAAAAGTGTTAGATTATATATAAAAAAAATTTTAGTCAAAAACAATTTTAGACAAAAAGCCCAATCTATTAGTTTATTAGTCAAACTAAAAAAGTTCATTGTTATTTATTGTTATTGATTGTATGTTTTTTTTTATATGATTCCAAAATTAAACTTTATTTTTTAAAGAAACCTTTGTATTGGCCATTAGGCTTCTTTTTTTTTTTTTTACAATAGAATGATAATCACTGCAAAGTCTTAGCATTTAGGAGAATAAAAAAAAACAATAGGACCCTGATTTTTTTCTTAACTGTTATATGAAATATGAAAAAAAAAAGGTATCTCTGATTTATCATCATACTGAACCAAGGTTAATTCTGTAGAAACGTCGGGAAATTCATGTGCCTATCTATATATACGATAGCAATGACAAGACCAAGTTTAAGCATTGGCATAATTTCTTTTGTATTTTTTTTTGTTTAAGGCAAATGGGATCCGGCGGAGGAATTTTTTTTTTCTTATCATGTTAGATTTTAATAAAGATTTAGGTTAATTTTCTAAATTGGGAAAATTTTAGGATTTTCAAAGATTTTTAAAATAGCATTTCGTAAATACAAAAACAAAACAAATTATATATAAAAAAATAACAAAAAAACAGGGCCTTTTTTTTTCCTTTAAAGTCATTAATACAAGTGTCAACCAAAAAAAAAAAAGAAAGACGGTTATAGTTGGCCATAAACTAAACTCATCTTTAAATCATTACTTTTTTTTTTTCTTTGGTAATCAAAAATCTCAAGACACTTTTTTTTTATTTGTAGCTTTGCTGGTGTTCTTCAACTTCCATACCCTTGGAGTAACCCTCGTTAGAAGAAACAACATCCATCTCAGACTCGACAACTTCACCTTCACCCTTTTCGCCAGGGATAATAAGGTTCATGATGAGACCAAGGAAACCGGCAATAGCGAAACCAGTTTCCATGACAAGGACAATGGCATCGAGGAAACCCTTAAGACCATTGTTATCACCCTCGTAAGTGAAGAAGTAAGAGAACCAGGTGGGGATAAGAGTAGAGCCGAAACCGTAAAGAAGAGAACAGGTAAGAATGAATCTGTCACGACGAGTGATAGGGTTAAGAGTGGCAATAATGGAGATACCAGAGACTGCGACAGATGTGAAAAGGAAAGTAGTCATACCACCAAGGACAGGGTAAGGAATGGAGACAAGAGCGGCAGCAAACTTGGAGAAGATACCCATGACGATGAGGAAGAAACAGTTCCAGTAGCCGACCTTTTTGTTTGCGCACTTTGTGATTGAGATGACACCGTTGTTTTGGGCAAAAGTAGTGACAGGAGTGATAGTCATAAGAGAGGCAATGCAACCGTTGAGACCATCAGCAAGAAGACCACCTTGGATACGAGAGTCATATTCTTCACCTTCGACAGGAAGACGGGAGACATCACAAGTGGCAGTGATATCACCAATGGCTTCCATAGCGCAGACAACGTAGACAGCCAGCATTGGTAGTACAACTGGACCATATATGGTTAACTTGAAAGTATGGACCCAAATGAAGGAAACAGCAGGAGCAGCGTCAATACCAGAGTGGGAGAAGTAACCGCAGGCAGCAGCAATGATACATCCGACAAGAAGACCGATAATAACAGCACATGATTTCATAATGGGGGCACCGAAACGTTCGCAAAAGACAATGGTTACAAAGACGGAGAAACCAAGACCAATGTATTGAGCAGAGCCCCAGATGGCAGCTTTGGGAGCTCCAACGTTAGGGCAGACAGAGTAGTATCCAGTAGTTTCAGACTTTCCAAAGCAGTTTGAGCCGCCACCCCAGTTCTTAAGACCAGTTTCGATAAGGTGGGCACCGATGAGCAAGACGACGGGGCCGGTAACAAGTGGTGGGAAGACACGCTGAAGGACTTTGGCAGGGATAAAGGACATTGCGATTTCGAGGAGGGAGCAGATTGCGGAGGTACCGAGGATTGCACCGTAGCCGTCAGGGCAAGCGAGTGAGTTACCGTCTGCATCTGTGGGGCACTTACCGTTTTTGTACATTTGGGGGATAGCACCTGTGATAATGGTGATGGTAGCGAAAGAGGTACCTACGACTGAGATCAAACCTGTGCCAATGTAGTACTTTGTGTATGGGACTTTGATGCGGGTCATTTGGACGAGGGAGAGAAGGCCAGAGACAATGAGAGAGGAGGAGACGAGATACTGGGTCATTTCGGTATCGAACTTTGCTGTGGATGAAATGATGAGAGGAGGGGTGATGACACCAGCAAGCATTGCTAGGGAGTGTTGAAGACCAAGGATAGCACCGAGTAAGAGGGGCATATCACCGTGAAGGGGGAAGAAAGGTTGGTAGACATCCTTCTTTTTCATGAAGGGGATTTCTGGGGTGAAGAGAGCAGCATAGCTATAGCTACCGATGATACCTTCTTTTGTGGTGAATTTTTTGAATACACGTTTAGCGTAACCCTTTGGGTTGAACTTTGCAGGTTGTGGTTGGATTGATTCTGTTTGAACAATATCAGACATTTTTGGGTATTTAGTGTGAGATAATTGTTGTTGAATAGATAGAAAGTAAGATAGAAAGAAAGGATGATTTTTGATGAGAATAGAAAGAAAAGAAAGAAAGAAAGAAAAAAAAAAACTGAACAGAGCAAGGGAATTCTGGGGATATTTATAACTTTTTAAAAAAAAAAAAAAACTTGGTGATTTCTTTTTATTATTATTTTTATTAATTATTAATTATTTATTTTTTTTTTAAGTTGTTATCAGAGAAGAGTAATAATAATAATAATAATAATGAATATCAAAAAAAAAAAAAAAAAAATTTAGTGATTAATAAAAATGCCAAGACAAATGATAAAAAAAAAATTTATATAGACCAAAAGGCTGATTGATTGATTTTGATGGTGGTGATTATTATTTTTTTACTATGAAAAAAAAAAAAAAAACTTAAAGTCATTTTTTTTTAAAATTTTTAAGGCTTATCGCTGAGTGCTATCAAACGGCCTTTCTTCGTCACCCACCTGGCCCCTTTTGGTTATTTTTTTTTTTTTTTTTTTGTTATTATTTTCAAATATTTTTATTTATTTAAATTTATTTAATTTATATTTTCAAAGTCTCGGCGTTCCTTTTTAGGGAATAAAACACTTTCATCGGGCCTCTCCGACTAAAAGAAAGAAAAAAAAAAAGATTCATTGTTAAATAGATGAGAATGATTGATTTTTGTTGATTTTTTTTTTATTTATTAAATTATAATTAGTTAAAAAGTTATTGTTGAAATTGGTTTTGTTTTTTTTTTTTTTTTAAAAAATTCTCTTAAAAAATTAAACATCTTTTTAAAAATGGCGGGGAAATAAAGTATATGGAGAAACTCATAGGTACAAGTGGTACTGGAACAGCTTTAATTGCAAGACTATTTCAACTCTTATTTTAAGCCTTAATTATTATTATTATAATTATTATAATAATCATAATAATTATAATCATAATTATGTACACACTTGTACTAAATGTTATTACAAAATCATTTTCGCTATAATCCGAGGTCAACAACCAAACCAACTTTTAAACTATACATTCGCCTTTATTCCCCTCTTCACTCATCGTCAAAATGAATACCCAGATTATTTCCCTTTTTTTTTTTTTTTTTTTATTCATCTTGTATTTTTATTATACAAATTTAATTTAATTTAATATAATATAAAATAAAATAAAAATAAATCCGGACTTTTTTTACATCGTTTCAGTTCCCTCCCATCCGGAATATTATTTAGGTCTTTGATCTACAAAACCTATTTTATTCTCTATTATACTTTTTTTTTTTTTACACTCTCATTAATTACAAACAATAATAATAATTTAATTTAATTTAAATTGAATTGAATTTTTTTTTTAAATCAATTTTCATTTCAAAAAAAAACAAAAAAAAAAAATGATTCATCATTTTTATGAAAAAAAAACTCTTCTTCTTCTTCTTCCTCCTCCTCCTCCTCCTCCTCCTCCTCCATACAAATTGTATTAACAAAGCAATCTTTCCAGCCAATGATTGATTCTATCATCAAATTTCTTAGGCGTACCAGGTACTACTACTGACAGTACTCAATCTACGTACTTGAGAGAGAAATTGTGTCACCCACCAGCCACTTGCCACTCGTTTAAAAGAAAAAAATTAAAAATATTATTATTTGGATTACGTAGAACTTATGTAATGTTTTTTTTTTTTTTTTTTTTTATTCTTTTACTTCCCCCCCGGACTTGACCCTGCCAGCCAACCAGTTAAACAAAGAAAGATTTCATTAATCTTCTAGTCTTTTTTTTTTTTTTTATGCTGTATAAAATTAAATTAAAATAACTTTGGTATATTATATATTTCACATCTGATTTTTTATTATTATTATTATTATTTTCATCATATTCTTCTTTTTTTTTTTTCATACAAGGCGGGGACAAAAGGAGCTTCTCGTTTTTTTTTTTTTCTTGGTTTTTTTTTTCTGTTATTAATAGTAGCATCTCCTAATAAAATATATATACCATCAATGCATCTAACCGATAACATGAGCTTTAAACTCATTATTATTATTATTATTATTATTATTACTCTCATTCTCAATCTGCACCTTATGGTCTGTCCCGTGTGATCTTTTTCTCGCTTAAAGATGAAGGGGGGTTCTCCGGGAATTCCTAATTTTTTTTAAATGAAAAAATAAATAAAATAATTAATTCAGTAATTTCACATCTGTTTTTATATATATATATATATTTTTTTTCAGGTAATCATCTTTGCTCTGGAATTAATGATATGGATTTTTTATATATTTATTTTTTTGTTTTTTTTTGGGTCCTTCCTTTATTTTTTTTTTTTTTTTTTTGCTCTTATTTTGTTTTGATTATTAACTTGATATGCAATGTGTGTATTTGAATACGGATCTGCAAAATATATGGGAAGGGGGAAAAAAAAATAAAGAATATGAGCCATCTTTATTCATTTTGAATAGTAGAAAAATAAAAAATTAAAAAAATTAAAAAAAAAAAGGCCATTGTTGCTTCTCGTTTTACTTCTTTTGATCTTATTACTTAGACTGGCTGCTTTGTTTATATATATATACTTCTAAAACAGGCAGGAAGGCAAGTGATCAGTAGTGACCATCTATTTATCATTATTTTTTTTTCAATTATTTCTAATTAGAAATTGTTTTTAAACCTATCAAAAAAAAAAATCAAAAAAAAAAAAAAAAAATGGTGGATGGAATAAATAAATAAAAAAAAAAAGTAGAACTTCGTTTTGAACATTCTACTTCATACTATATACTGTGTAAAATGGTAAAAAATTGATTGTGTAAATCTAAATAATATATATATATATATAGCAAATGCGCCTCAACCTAATTTAGTAGGTATTAAAATTACTCAAGTAAAAATATAATATAAATCTCATTGAATCAATGAGTAGACAAAATTTACAAGTATTTTTTGGTTGAGAATTTGAATCCCTTTTCTTCTTCATTTTCTTAATCTTCTTCCTTTTCTCCTTCTCAACTTTAATTTTAAAAATTTGAAAATGTTGAAAAATAAATTCCAAACTTTGTTTTTTAATTTGTATATTTATATATATATATATATAAATTAAGCTTTTTGGTTTTTTCAAGAAAAGGAGTCTTTTTGGTTTTATCTATACTTTTGATATTGTTCTACACCTTATGATTTCTATGTAGAACCTTTTTTTTTGTTCTCTAAGCAAAACACACACCTTTCTGCTATCAAGATAACGTCAAAATTAAAAATAAAAAAAAAAGTCTTATCGCTCATAATAATAATGATAATGCACACCAAAAAAAACCAAAATGTATCAAGGAAAAAAAAAAAAAAAAAGTTTACAAACACTAAAAAGCTTAATAAAAAAATTTACCTTGGTAAAGCAAACGGCTGACTATACACACAAGCACGTTTTTTTTTTTTTTGAACCAACTTTTGTATCACACACATTCTTCTTCCTCAATTTTTTTTATCAATTGTTGTAAATTATTTCGTATACACTAATACCGCAAATTTTAATATTTTTGTTTTATTTTGTTATTTTAGTTTCTACTTTTTTTATTGGATAAAAATTTTAAAATCATATAAATATATATATATATATACATACAAATAATTAAAGGTACAACATGTAATTTTTTTTTTTTGCTATTTTACATTTTCAGTTGTACAAGAATATGTCTCATTTTACACAAAAAAAAAGGGACCAATTTTTTCTGGAAGCTCATTGTAATTATGGGGGCTAGTGAAAAAAAAAAAAAAAAAAAAAAAAACAATTAAAAATTAAAAATTAAAAATTAAAATTAAAATTAAAATTAAAATTAAAAAAATGAGATTGTTTCTTTTAAACAGTCTTCTAATGGATTGTGATCTCATTGTAATTAAAATTAACCAAAAGAAAATGCAGATTCTGGATGAAAAAAACAACAAAAAAACCATATATATAAATAAAACAAAAATACCCCAGTATCTCATCTTTTATTTCTACTAACTAGAATTTTTTTTTTCCAGTCTTAAGTTGTTATATAATTTCTCTAATATTTAACAAAATTTTATAAGCAATTACTTGATTTCTAGTTAGTCATTATTGTCTACATTTACTGGTCTATTCTTACCTTAGTTTCAAATATATATTATCCATCATCATTAATCAATTGAATCTTCCATATTTTTGTTTTTTTTTTCAATTTTAATTGGAAATTACTTTGGACCCCTTTTTCGCATCTTATAATAATGTTTGTTTTTATTCAAGGGTTATAGAATTATATATAATATTAGCATCTACTCTACCCTTCTTCTTATAATAATTCATGTAATTTTCATTTCAATAAAAACTAAACATTTATTTTCAAAAACTCGTTCTGAAAGAACAAAAGAAAAAAAAAAAAAAAAAAAAAAAAGAAAGAAACTTAACTAGCTAGTTAACAACAACTGGAAACATATGAAAATTAATATTTTTTTTATTTTTTTTTTTGCTTCAAAGATCTCAACTTAAATATTCTTTCAATTGCATTTAAAGACATTGTATTTTTTCATTTTTGAGGTTTTTGATCTTACTCTTGAAGTTAATTTAATGATGACCTTTTACTTGACCAATTGACTTTTTTTTTTATCTAAATACATCATACCTTCTTAGTTCATCCATCTCTTTATCATAAAAGAATATCCTCAAGATAACATCTCTGTTTTTTTTATCTTTTTTAATTTTCAATTGCCCATGGCCATCACAAATTTAGCAATTAAAATCAATCAATCTTATCATGTTTGATATCTAATAGATAGAAACTGGATTTTTTTTATATTGTACAATCTTCCCCAATCAGTTTTGTAGAAAGAAAGAACCAATATTTATATCTTTGGCCGACGGGTTCTTAAATAACTTGTCTAATCTTATAATCACAAGAAGTTGATAAATAATATAAAGAGGAACAGTTTGTTTTTATTTCAAAAATATTGGGTTTTGTCATTGTTGGTTTGATTCCTTATTGGACTTT